TTTTTTTTTTTGGGGGGGGGGGGGGAGGGAATGGTGGTATCGGCAGAACGGGTTCTTTCTTCCCTTTCAGCCTTTCTGCAATTTATTTTTGCAAGATATACCATTATCTGATTTTCCTTCTGCGTCCCTTTTCTATGTTTTGTGGGAGGAGGTGTTTCAAGCATGTGATGTTTATGCAATTTTTAAAATTTTGACAAAGCACGCCAGCAAGCATCTGGACGCGCAAGTATAGATGTTCAACTGTTAGGTAGTTGTTAGTACCTTTGGGGCAATAAGCTCTTTGGCTGAACTTGGATAATTTGGCTCATAATTACCAACATGCTATCCTAAAAAAGGCAGACCACTATGATTCTTTTTAAGGAAATACCAAGTTTAACAATAACACTAGAAGTAACTTACAGGTGTAGTGGCTCAATCATAGCGTAAAAAATAAAACTAGCTAGTCCTGCCTTTTATGCTCTCTATCTATTTTCTCGTCAAACAAGCGACAGAAAAGGGAGATTATACTGGGATGTGGAACCCATGTATGCTTAAGAAAGGATTCAAGGTATGTTAAAGTTGATAATTTGTTTGTATGATAAATGCTGATGCGCCACATATGCATAAACTCAGAAAAGATAAGCACTTTCACAAAGCAATATGATGAGTGAACCTTTTATCCATTTCAGATACATTAACACTTCCTAACATGCTGTACTTGTAAGCTTTTCATATGTTCATGGACTTGGCCTGGGCATAAATCGATAAATAAATAGAGAGAGAGAGAGAGAGTACCATATGAGGACACAGACTCTTTCATCAACAAGAAACTGCTATCAACAACTTGCTTAATGGATGCATGAATGCAAGAACACAGGGTAGGTCCTGCGCCCACTGTACTTGAGTGGGAGAGCAAAAGAAGCCCTTGCAGCATATTAAAATATGAAGCCATGTTCTCCTCGAGTGCTTTAACCTCTGGAGTCTCTCCAGTCCAAAGCATTCCAACTGCACCAAAAAGAAAAATAATTGTCAATTACCAACATTATCTCCTAGGTAAATGCCTGAAACTTACCATTATCCAGTTAATCAAAATTGGACAACACCCCCCCCCCCCAAAAAAAAAAAAAAAAAAAAAAAAACCAGTGAATGAATACCTACGAATTTCTATGCTAGCAAGAAATACCACAGAAGCTATATACTTCAGCTTTAGATTTAATCAAACAAATTTACCAATTCTCGGCCAATCACAGGTCCAAGTTGCCAAAGAACTCTCATTGGATAGGGGCGGGTGCATGACAAAAAGTTGATGAATATTCTTTTAAACTGGTACGGTGCAAAGCTTGTATCATGCCCCACTCCAAAAAGACCCTTCATTAAATGTAACATATGACATTCACTTAAATGTATAAATGAAACATGCGTCGCTCGTCCCAGACAAAAGTTGAAACATCTAAGCATTTAAAGATGATACTTTTGTTTAATCACATCTAAGCGTTTAAATATCTAAGTCACACCATTCTTCTTGTAGTATAGGTTTCTGATAACCAAATCAATGTTTACTTCCTCTTTTATGGATAGTCTATATTAGCTTAACTACAACATATAACTGCTGATGCTTCACTATCAAACATAAACACACAACATCGAATTGACAATGACTTAAATAGATTCTCTAATATGGAAACAGATAATGTCCATGCCTAGCATTGTAAAACAAAGACCTATCCTTTTCTCTCTCTCTCTCTCTCTCACNAGTTCTACACTTTACTTCAAGCTCACGAAGTACTATCAGAACAAACTGCTTCCTGGTAGTTATTAAAGGCTTTAGACAAATATGTAATCGCTCTTGTTGGATTGGCTCTGAAGTAAATTCTAGAGCTCGTACTGCATGATTAGTAGCTATGGTTATGTCCTTATGAATGCTAAAAAATGATACCATGTAAAGATACTTGATCTAGAACTCACTTAGCGGCATATCTTGTTGGGTTGATATCTTTGCAGCCCTAACTTTAGTGGATCCTTTTTTTTAGCTAACCGAGAAATCTCTGAGGGACACTGGCACACGATTCGAAACTTGGTAGATAATGGCCCCGCCCCTCTACCCTTATCCACTTAAATACCCAGCATTTGTCAGTGTGTTGTGACGTGTGCCTAACCCACACATCAGAAGTTGTACTCTAAGCACTAGATCAAAGCTCTGGCGGCAACACTTACCTTTCTTTTAGTCCACATGATAGATTGGAAACCACTCATTTAGAACTACTTTGTATCTTGTTCTATTCATTTTCAATCTAAGTCCAGTCATTATGCCTAACGTACTGAGCTTTCATATATCTTTCTCTATCGTGTTGATGTCCAAAATTATGTAATAAGAACCAACCTTACTCTATAATATCACCTAAAATGAAAAGGATATTAGGTAAAATTAAGCTCATCAAAACATTACAAGGGAGTAAAAAATGCTCAAGGAGGAAAGAGAACTTTCAATATCAACCTTCATCTTACATTTATACTAATAATTAAGCATAAATTGCATTATTTCAATTAAAAGAAAAACATAACCTCATTTCATCAAAACCAAATACAAGCACAAAGATGGAATATATATATATATATATATATAAAGCATAAAAATTGGAACTTTAAGAAGCAAAAATTAAATACATAAAAGAGAGAGAAAAAAAAAAGATTGACCCATAGTGGCTTGTTTATAAAGCTGTTCACCCATTTGAATTACTTCTTTCCAGCCTACTCTTTCAAGTGACGATGATGGTGTTTGATTCAATACCTATAAAGCAAAAAAAAAAAAAAAAAAAAAAAAAAATCATAAATCACGCGATACAAAAATAATAAGGAATGCAAAAAAAGAAAAAGAAAATTAAAGGAGTCATATAATTAAACCTGAAGAGTTTCATGAATGGTGTTGAGATGTTCATTTAGAGCTCTATTCAATTGCTCTTTTGCTGCTTTCCCCATTTCTCTTCTCTCCCCTAAAAGTTTAAAAGGCAAAACCTGCTACACTATTTGCAGAAGAGTTGAGGCGGAAGAACACGATTGGGTTTTATTATCAATCGCTGGCAAATTTACACGACGTCGTTAACACGATTTGCTTTGCATATGTCGCATTAGGATAATGCGATTTGATTTTGATTTTTGTGTTTTTCACTTCATGTTACATATAACTGACAGAAAATAACACAAAAATATATTTTTAGCGAACTTATAAGATCAAAATTGCTTATGAATATAAGGGACTATCTTAAACTTATTTTAAACGGCAAATGGTCAAATATTACTTTCGAAAATATTCTAAGAATACTCCTCGTTATAATATTGGGTTATCTATATTCCTGCACTCATACTTTGGGTTCACATATACCCCTTATTTAAACGGAGGGACACGTGTCATCGTCCTGTTGGTCAATTCTAAATGTCTCCTAATTAATTAAAAAGACTCATTATCCATACACAAAAAATAATTTTTTTTTGTAAAAACTGGAAAAAACTAATTTTGTTTTAACTAAAAACTGAAAAAAATGAAAATATTTTTTTTCCCAATTTTTACAAAAAAACTGCTTTAAAAAACCTGAAAAATATTTTCTAAAACAATGTTTTTATAAAAACTGAAAAAAAAAACTGAAAAATAATTTTTTAAAGCAATTAAAAACTGAAATATTTTTAACTAAAAACTGAAAAAAAATAATTTATTTTTTCAGTTTTTACAAAAATATTGCTTTAGAAAATTGCTTTTCAGTTTTTACAAAAATATTGCTTTAGAAAATTGCTTTTCAGTTTTTACAAAAATATTGTTTTAGAAAATATTTTTCAGCTTTTTTTAAAGTAGTTTTTGTAAAAACTGGAAAAAAATATTTTCGTTTTTTTCAGTTTTTAGTAAAAAAGAAAATCAGTTTTTTCCAGTTTTTACAAAAACATTGCTTTAGAAAATTGATTTTCACCTTTTTTTTCAGTTTTTATAAAAATATTATTTTAGAAAATAGTTTTCAGTTTCTCTAAAGCAGTTTTTTTGTAAAAACTAGAAAAAAAAATCGTTTTTTCAGTTTTTAGTAAAAATAATTTTAGTTTTTTCCAATTTTTACAAAAAACCATTGCTTTAAAAAATTATTTTTTGGGTATGGGTAATGGGTCTTTTTAATTAATTAGGAGATATTTAGAATTGACCAACAGGATGATGACACGTGTCCCTCCGTTTAAATGAGGGGTATATTTAAACCCAAAGTATGACTGCATGGGTATAGATAACCCAATAGTATAACGAGGGGTATTCTTAGACCATTTTCGAAAGTAAAGGGGTATATTTGGCCATTTGCCGTATTTTAAATACAATGAACTATTTTTGTCATTTTCTCGTTTCTTGTCCTAATTGAAAAAAAAATAAAATCCCCCCCTTATTACTGGTGTACATTTTTTGAAAACTGTAAATTTATAATTGCACCATATTATGATAATTGCTTTTCTAGCTGAAGTTTAAATTACTTCTTTTCTGTATGTTTCTATTTTGTCGTAAAATCCCACAATTATGAGTTATTCCTTCAAGTATTAGCATTGTTTTCCCTTCTAATTTTTATATAAAAAAAACTTTTGTTCCATTAAAATATATCTCTATTATCTTTTAAATCTGAAACTGGTAGCTAATAACAAAATATCACGTGTGCCTATTATTATCCATTTAATAATATGATCGTCCTAATCAAGCTAATTAACAATTTTTAAGGAACAAAACATTTATAAGTCCCAGCTAAAATGTAGCAATTGAAGCGGAACATTGGAGTAACGGTAAAATTATGTGTGACCTATAGGTGACAAGTTCAAACTAAAGAAGCAACCATTAATACTTAGTGACAAGTTCAAACTAAAGAAGCAACCATTAATACTTACTTTAGGGTAGATTGTCTACATCACATCTAGTGGTAGCAATGGTTAAAATAAAACAGTTATCCACCTATATTATCCATTAAAAATAAAAATTGGTAGGATAATGAACTTTTAAAAAACGGGTTCAATATGGATAAGAACCATATTATTCACTTAGACAATAGATAAACAATAATGGGTTTAACTATCCATATTAAATGTGGATCGGGTCGGATAATTTATCCATTTTTGCACTACTCATTCTTGACCGACCCATATCCGACACAGCCCGCCCGTTTGCCGCACCTAATCGCAGCCTTTAGGGCGCGACCCTTCCTCGTACCCTGCGCGAACGCAAGATACCTTGCGCCCCTGGCTGCCCCTAACTAAAGTGTAGCAATTGTTTAATGCCTCATGTGACATTCATGCTTGACAGTAAATTGCCCAAATTTACATCAGCGTGATAAACAACAACTAACCTCAATACAAACAAGTTAGGATCAGCTATATGAATCCTCAATTCTTCGTTTAAGCTCAACTCATATCAATCAACGTGATAAAAGAAGAAAAAGAACTCAACTTTGATTTTGCAGATTTAGAGGACATACAAATTAAAGTACAAACTTTGGAGGACAGAAGGGAAAATTGGATCCTCTCTCTATTTTTTATTAGTTCAGTATTCTGTAACTTGTTCTAGACTTCAATAAGAGAAGTACAATTCATTTATAGCCCTCTCATTTACATCAACCTGTTATCAATAGATGATTTTTCATCAGCATGAAGCCTCTCCCTTGCCATTGCAGCTTGTTTTTTCCAATCTGTGCAGCATGTTATCACAGAGAGTAGAATAGATTGCACAGCAGCACCAGAAAGTACGCCGATCCACAGGCCTTTTCCCCTAAAGTTGAGCCAAAAAGCCAATGAAGCAGCTATAGGAATTCCACAAAGGTAAAATGAAGCAAGATTGACATAGGCTCCGATATGCTGCCAACCACATCCCCTCGCAACACCTACAATGTGCATAAAGCCGCAATTAGTCATACGCCCGTTCTTGTCATGTATCTAATAGTGGCGGATTCAACAATATATACGTAGTGCAATTTTCCAGCAAAAGGAGATTCAGTTGAACCCCCTTTTTGGTAAATGTGGCCTCGCCACTGTTATTTGTTACCTTAAGTGTAGTAATTTGATGTGGAAAAAGTCTAACCTGAAAGAGTTCCTTGCAAGCTGTCAGTTATGACCGATATACATAGAAGAGGGGCCATGTTTGCGACATAGTCCACAACTTCCTTCTCATTGCTGAAAATGTAACCAAATACATTTCTACAAGCAAAGACAGTTGTGCTTACGAGTATTGTCTCTGTGGTCGCCATGAGCATTGCAGAAAGCACAGATACGCGAGCTCCTTGAGGATTTCCAGCTCCTAATTGATTAGAAACTCTTATGCTGAAAGTAAACAGGTTATGCTTATATTTGACAAACAAACCACATGGAAGTGGAAAGCTGGATTAAATACTTAGACAAACCTTACAGCACCAGCGAGACCAAATGGTATTGCATAAAGCGTAGAAATGGTGTTCAGGCTGCATTGTAAAAATTCCCAAAAGATTAGCAAAATCTTGGATTTCATGGATCATATTACTAACTGAGTTTACTCATTCGAGAGCGAGATGCAAAACATACCATATAGACAGAACTGAAGCTTCAAGTTGGGGATTTGGCAATAGGCCTGATAGCAAGATGAGCAGCTCAAATGACCACCACTCAAGACTACAAAAATACAACACGTAGCATAAATTTCGTAGAAAGACACAACCAAAAGTGTATTTAAATTCTTAAAATGAGTGGATGAGGGAGTTGAAGTACCAAATCATGATTGCAGAAGGGATAGCAAACTGAAAAAACTCTCTCATTCCCTTGACAATCTCCCAAGACATTGGTGCGCGGGTTTTTGCACAAGCGGGAGACAACCTCATGTATGAAGCAAGGATTATGACATTCAACCACATCGATATACCAATAGCTATTGCCGCACCAATATTACCTAAGCCAGAGCAAAACACTAGCATCCAAGACAGCGGTATGTGGAAGCATATTGTTACGCAGGAGCTTACGAGCATGGGAACAATCATACTTTGCATTTGATAGTACCGAATAAGCGGATGAAGATTTGCATAAGCAAAGAGAGCAGGAATCAGCCACTTAATGAACTTTCCAGCTTCATGAGAAATCTGAGGATCTTGGCCGATGAAGGTAAGCAATTTTCCCATATACATCCACAAGATTGTGAGGGGAATGCAAACAATGAAGAGAGAAAAAATGGCAGTGTATGTTTGAGTACCAAGTCTTTGGTATTGCTTAGCTCCAAAAGCCTGCCCGCAAAGAGTTTCTAGTGCACTGGCCATTCCTAACTACAAGGCATATATAAATAGTTGTCAGCAGAGATGCCAAAAAAAAAAAAAAAAGGTTGTTCCTAAACAATTAGTCCATCTAAAAAAGTTTAACACTCTTCAACCAGTGCCGGAAGAAGAAATTTCACCAAAGGGATTTAAAAAAGAAAAAAAGTAAACACACGAAGAAGCTAAGGGGATTCCACATCTAATCGATAATATACACAAAGTAATTTTCAGGCAAAGGGGGTTCGGACGAACCCCCTTCCATCCACCTAGTTCAGTCCCCGTCTTCAAGTCATTCAAACCATTTTCATCTTTATCCATTTATTTTCTGTCTCGAAAGCTTTTAATTCAAAGAAAGGAAGTATGTATTAAGTTTGATATATTTGACCACTGACCGAGCTGATAACTTCAAATGATCAAAAGCAATGAAGGTTCAAGAATATTAATGTTCACTTAATAGATGGTTGCAAAGATGAATTGTTAAACAAGAAATCGAAGAGCTTCTATACTAATAACTATGACATTCCATTTCTTCGCTACACTCTCAAGACGATAATACACTGTTTCTCGAAACATAATTTTCCGCCTTATGCATTTCATCTCATATTTTTCAATATCTTTACTTCACAATATTCATAACTTTATCCTTTAGTTAAAAGAAGAGCTTACAAGCGAAAGTTAGCACTGAATTAAGTTCGACAGCAAATTTGTCGAACTTATAAGCCCCCAAATTTGTAAACATAACACATTACAAGTTACATAAGGAAGAAAGTGCTTGAGTTCTAGCCACGGATAATGCATTGATTTTTTACATTTTTAGTCAGGTAAAACTGACCTACAACTATAGGCATTAAGTATGATATGATAACCTGAGATATAGAGCGAGAACCTGCTACAACCAGTTAAATTGCACTAATAGAAAATTCTTTAGACTGTCATAGAAAGACCATTTCTTTTGCCGCAAAAACATTGAACTACAACCTCATAGACATCTAAACATTATAAGTTCCCAAAATTGTAAACCTAACACATTACAAGTTACATAAGGAAGAAAGAGTTTAAGTTCTAGCCACAGATAATGTATTGATTTTTTACATTTTTAGTCAGGTAAAACTGACCTACAACTATAGGCATTAAGTATGATATGATAACCTGAAATATAGAGCGAGAATCTGCTACAACCAGTTAAATTGCACTAATAGAAAATTCTTTAGAGTGTCATAGAAAGACCATTTCTTTTGCCACAAAAACATTGAACTACAACCTCGTAGACATCTAAACATTATACAACAACAACAATCCAATGAGTTCCCACGAATGGGGTTCGGGGAGGGTACGCAACCTTACCCCTACCCTAGAAGGACATAGAGGTTGTTCCCGATAGACCCTCGACTAAAGAAAGAATAAAAAAAGTAACGGCAATAGTAATAACAACAAGACAAAACAAGAAGACCAACAACAACAACAACCCAGTAGAATCCCATTAGTGGGGTCTGGGGAGGGTAGAGTGTACGCACACCTTGCCATAGAGACCAAAACCAAGAAAGCAAGTAAACACCAAGTACTAATAACAATCTAAGAATAAAAAGATACCATACTAACACTAATGCTATCGAGCTGAGTAGACATATGGAGAACGCTCGACTACCTACTAAATTACTAACCTAATCCCTGACCGCCACACCCTTTTATCAAGAGTCATGTCCTCAGTAAGCTTCAGTTGCGCCATGTCCCCCCTAATCACTTCCCCCATGACTTTTTTGGCCTACCTCTACCCCTTCTCAAAACCACCCCTAACCTCTCACGCCTTCGAACAGGGGCTCCTGTGCTTCTCCTTTAAACATGCCCGAATCATCTCAACCTCGACTCCCGCATCTTATCCTCCACGGGGGGCCAAAATTGTAAACCTAACACATTACAAGTTACATAAGGAAGACAGAGTTTAAGTTCTACCCACGGATAAGGTATTGACTCTTTTACATTATTAGTCAGGTAAAACGGACCTACAACTATAGGCATTAAGTATAATACAATAGCCTGAAATGAGCGAGAACTTGTTATAACTAGCTAAATTGCACCAATAGAAAATTCTTTAGACTGTCATAGAAAGACCATTTCTTTTGCTGCAAAAACATTGAACTACAACCTCATAGACATCTAAACATTATAAGTTCCCCAAATTGTAAACCTACCACAGTACAAGTGACATAAAGAAGAAAGAGTTTAAGTTGTGTGACCTCTTCATATTAATTATCAACTATAGGTAACTCTTCATACTAAGTATTACTACAAGCTAACTAAAAAAATAGTGCGAGAACCTGGTATAACCAGTTAAATTGTACTGAACATTGTTTATACTGTCACTATAAAATAGTACAGTCCGGTTGTACGAATCATCTCACGTTTACGCCGGGTCCAAGGCAGTCTACCTTGATGCAATCATACGTGGCTGACTCCATGGTTCGAAATACTGTCACTATATATAACTTAAATTCAAGAAATAATCATAGATAGAAGTACTTACAAGAAAGCTGAAACCAGTGACACCAGCAAGAGAAAGAGCAATAGCAGTACTTGAAAGAGAAAGTTCACCTAAATGACCAACCATCATCATTGATATTACTTGTAAAAAATACTGTGAAAGTGTCACTGCTATCATTGGTCCAGCCAAATAACCAACTTCTTTCACTTCTTCCCAAATTACTTCCCATCTCAATTCAACTACACCCTTATCTTCTTTTACTTTCAATAACAATCCCTCTTCTATATTCTCCATTTTAAACAAAAAAAAGGTCTTGAATTTGTAAAAAAAGATTGTGAAAATCTTGAATTTTTTTTAAGAGAGGACAAAGGTAGGACTGGGGCGGTGTGCGGAGAGAGAGACAGGAAAGTTTGAGAATTTGTTAAGCAAAGATAAAGAAAAGATGCTAATGGTTTGTTTGAGTTGGGTATTGGTTTGTCTTCTGCTGACTGTCTTGGGTTGTGATTTGGCGGTATTTGACTAATACTAACTAAATAATACAGTAGTCTTTTTTACGTGTTTCCCAAGATGTTCATAAGGTCTAAAATTTGGGGACGAAATATTATGTGAAAATGGTATTTGATAATTAGAATTATTTTTGGATATTAATATAATTTTGGGTTGTTTTTGAATTTTTGTGATTTGAGCGAAAATTTTGAAGAACAACTTTTTGGAGTTTCTCAAATTTTCGAAAAACTTCAAAATTTATTTTCAATTGAAAATTGAAAATTTTATGGCCTAACAATTTCAAAAAAAAATAAAAGGATTTTGAAAAAAAAGTGAAAAAAATTATGGCCAAACGGGCTCTAAGATACGCTTGAATAGTGTAATTATTTTTGCCATATCAGTGTATTTTACTATATTGTAATAGTATAACATGTCTCATCTAAGCTATTAGGAAACGTTTGGTGGGAGGTATTAGAAAAAATAATGCAAGCATTAGCTCTGTGCATTACTAATATCTTATTTGGTACATTTTTTTAATTTGTGTATAACTAATACTTGCATTAGTTATACATCATACTAGGTATTAGCCTATATATAAGTAATGCATAGAAAACCATGTCATTAGTAATACCAAGGCTATTAATGCATGCATTAGTATAGTTAAAGACAAAATTATCCTTAAAGCCCCTTAAAGCTAGAGAATATGGAAGGCATTTTTGTAAACAACTATTTTTCTAAAAAGTTATGCAATGCATTATAATTTTTAATACACCACACCAAACAGTTTATAAGAAATAATATCTGCATAACTAATGCTTGCATTACTAACACATGCATTACTAATTCCTGCATTACTAATACATCGTATTCCGCATTATTCTTATACACCCTACCAAACGATCCCTTAGTATATTTTAATATTTTATCGTACGATATTTGTCTCATTTTTCAGATCACTAATTTCAATGGCTACGGATAGTATTTTTTAGATGACATGATAATGTATAAAGTTTCTACGTTATTAGTACAGTATGGAAAAGTTACAGCTTGTTTGGATGGTTGTTATGTATAGTTTCATAATGTATCGTATGGTATTGTATTGTACTGTATCGTTTTGATATTTATAACATTTGGATAGATTGTATTGTGTGTTGTTTGCTCCTGTCACGACCCGAATTTCTCACCTTCGAACTGTGATGGCGCCTAACATTTCACTTGCTAGGCAAGCCAACGTTAGAATAATATTAACCGTTTTTAAAATAATTTTTAAATTTATTAATAACAAGGAAGCAAATGCGGAAGCAATTTTGAAATAATTCATAGTAATAACGGTGTCTAAATACCATCCCAGAATTGGTTTCACAAGTGCACGAGCTTCTAGAATAAATACAAAAAGGTCTGAATAAAATAAAGTTGTCTGAAAATAAACACACAGCTAAAGTACAATAGACGGGGACTTCAGAACTGTCATGCAGTTATACCTCAAGTCTCCTCTGATAACTGAAATCCGAGCAAGTCTATGGTACGCCGCTGGGACCAACTCCAAAATCTGCACAAGAAGTGCAGAGTGTAGTGTCAGTACAACCGACCCCATGTACTGGTAAGTGCTGAGCCCAACCTCGATGAAGTAGTGACGAGGCTAAGGCGGTTCACTTACATTAACATGTACGTAATATTAGTAACAACAACAATAATAAGAATAAATCAGGTAATTCATTTATAATAACTGAAGGCAACTCAACAGTCATAACCAATTATCATTTCCATTATTTCTGTTGCAGCGTACAACCCGCTCTCACAATATATCCACATTCAGTTTTGTTGCGGCGTGCAACCCGCTCCTCCAATATATTCATTTTAATCAAGTCTGTTGCGGCGTGCAACCCGATCCTCCAATATGGACTTTTAATAAGTCTGTTGCGGCGTGCAACTCGATCCTCCAATATGGACTTTTAATAAGTCTGTTGCGGCGTGCAACCCGATCCTCCAATATGGACTTTTAATAAGTCTGTTGCGGCGTGCAACCCGATCCTCCAATATAGACTTTTAATAAGTCTGTTGCGGCGTGCAACCCGATCCTCCAATATAGACTTTTAATAAGTCTGTTGCGGCGTGCAACCCGATCCTCCAATATAGACTTTTAATAAGTCTGTTGCGGCGTGCAACCCGATCCTCCAATATAGACTTTTAATAAGTCTGTTGCGGCGTGCAACCCGATCCTCCAATATTGACTTTTAATAAGTCTGTTGCGGCGTGCAACCCGATCCTCCAATATTGACTTTTAATAAGTCTGTTGCGGCGTGCAACCCGATCCTCTAATATTAACTCTTTAACAAGTCTGTTATGACGTGCAACCCGATCCTCCAATATAGACTTTTAATAAGTCTGTTGCGGTGTGCAACCTGATCCTCCAATATATTCATTATAATTAATTATGTTGCAGTGTGCAACCCGCTCCTCCAACATTTTTATTTACCAATTTTTATAGAAGAAATTTTCCCAATAAATATAACAATTAATATAAAATTACAAGACAACAAGCATACAATAATTATGGTTTAATTATGAAGCAAA